AATGACAGCAGCGCTGCTGACTGGATGTTATTCCTCTGGGCTTCAAGCTCCTGATGTTTACTGGACCCAGCCCCCACCACTTTGGCTGAACATCCGCCCCTTTCAAGCAGGGGATACCCAGACGAGAGGCCTTTTCTGACACACGAGCTGGTGAGGTTGACCCTCCGAATCCTTCTTGCCCTTGGTCCCTTGCCCCTGGTCTGTTCCAGGGGCACAGCTCCGGCGCTGCACGACTTAGCTAACCTTCCCGAGCTGGCACAGGGCAGACGAGACATGGGCATGGCCTGGTGGAGGCTTAAAACACCACAGAAAGTCAGCACAGGGGTGTTGATGTCATTCACTCCTTATTTCACTAAACGCTGCTATACCAACTCAGACGTTCACGCTAGTACTGCAGGCTAAGGAAGTGAGCTACAGCTACAGCAATGAAATCCTAGTTCCTACAATTCAATTTACATTACCTTCACCCCTTCTTGGCTACTGATCGTAATTTCTCTTCACAGAGAATCTGAAGAAACAATGTAAAATATGGAGAAAGGAGGACCACGTGTTTGGGCTGTATCAAGATCGGTCTGTTTGTATCTCAGATAATTCAGATGGGCTCCGAGTGTTCCAGCAAAAGAAAAATTGAAGTCAGGCCCTTTAACAACTAGCTTTTTATCTCATCTCAAGATCACCTACCTTCCCCTGGCTCCCGGCTTCCTCTTTAATCATCAGCCCTGGGAGCGAACGCAAGGGAAACAAACGGTAACTCCACCAACAAAAAGAAAAAATAATTAATGACTTTATTTTTTTTTTTTAGTTCAGTTGGCCATCTGAGGTGCTAAAATCTCAACACCAACGAAGCAAGTGTGCATAAAAACAAACGATAAAACACAACCAAACAGAAGAAAACAGGCTGGAACAGAGTTGGTTTGTTTTTTTTTTTTTTTTTTTACAGGTAGGGTATACGCTTTTCTGTTAATACTCCATACATGCCAACCGTAAAAGCCTTGAACAATCTGAATATCAGAGTTCACTTTCATACAAAAGGGAAGATGATGCCAAAGCAGATCCCTTCACCTGGATTAAACTTCACACACACACGCATGCACGCACAGACACAGAGTATTTAAATTACTGCAATGCCATCAGACCATGGCATCCTCCCCTTCACATCTGCTTTCAGTGACATCCTCCGCTGCCCGGCTACCCTGCCTATAGCTGTACTCTGCGCAATCCGAAAGCAGGAACTTTCGGAAAGCTTCTCATCTCTGTTATTTTGCAACGGTCGAGAGCCAGCAATCTCTTTCTCTGTGAACTATATACAGGCTGGTTTTTAGTATGCTTTAGAGTTCTCTTTATTGCAGACAGCGATGACTGAAATTCCCATAAAGCCATATTGTGGCTTTTCAGTTTGTACACAGGAGATTTTATAATGCAACACCTTTCTCATCAACTGGTGCCTGGTGTAAACACTTAATTGAAAACTCGTTTTAAAACAATGTTAACCAAACAAGGTGTAGCTGTGAACATTTTAGGAACAGCTGCTAAGAAAATGGAACTGCTGGCTGCTCTAGATCATGCAGTCTAGACCACTTATAATACTTCATAATGTTCAGGATTAGGATGTATAAAAATATTAAAAGCCACCAGAGTGCACACAAATGTGGTGACTAGCTCTATGCAAGCACCGTGTTCTAAGAGAGGCCTAGGCATTGCACAAAACTCAAGATTCTTGACCGTGGGGGTAACCCAAGGATCCACTGGTGTCTTTACATACAAACAAATATTTACATAAAATGCAGAGACAGATAGAGAGAAGGACAGACTTTTAAAACTTGCGGTTTGCTCTAAAATATGTTCAGCAACGCAGTTTGTAACATGCCCTAGCGAGACTGTGGGGTGTACTGGTTAACTGAAAGAAGGAACATGCCTGGAAGTTGGAGCTGAAACGTCTTGTCACCTCTCCACCTCCACGCATAGTTCTTTGAAGCTCAGGATTTTACAGCCATTTGCGAGTTTTAATGAAAACATGGTTAAAAGGAACAGAACAGTAAAAAAAAAAAAAAACAACAAAACAAACCTGTACTGTGAAAACAGCAGATTGGTTGTTTTGGCAGCCCTCACTCCCCCATCCCCATTTGCTTCCCGGGTGTTTCCAGGAGGTGGTATCCCCCTCCCTTCCCTGCAGGGGACGGAAGCGCTTGCCCCATCCTCGGTGTGCCCATTCCAAAACGAACACAGGTTAGGTTCCAAGCTCGGCTCTCCTCCTCCCCGCTGCAGGGAGGAAGCGGCCAGCCCCCGCTACTGGACCGTGTCACAGGGGGACGGACGCCCTTGCGTGCCCGCTTCTGGGAAGCTGAGGGCCTTTTCGCTCCCCTCGTATGTGAAATGGGGACACGTCGTTGAATGCACGTGGCTGAGTCACATGCCGCTGCCCACCTGGGCAGCACAAAGAGCTAGAACATCCTACTTGGATTCTGATACAAATAAGGGATCTTGTGGTCACAAGAGCCTTCTTCAGCTTTAAAAATACAAAATTTGAATTAAAAATATTCAGATAGTAAAAAAACCCAGTATCTGATATGCAAGTCATATTCTTAAAGTGCAACTGAACAGCAAATACAAGTTGTGCCTTTTTCAACCATTTTGATATAAAAAGGCCTTTTAACATTCCCTTTCGTGTATTTTTTAATTTGTGTGTGCGATGTTAGCTCTTCATTTTCATTCTTGCTGCTGGAGGACTTCAGCATAACCTAAAGAGTTCCGTTTTAGAGTACGTGGCTTTCCCCTGCAATAGGGCACGTTACACCCTCAAGCGATATCACTCTTCAGCAGTGCAAAGATCTGGCCAGCGTCCCCCAGCATGAAAGGGAAAAGTAGTAAACTGGTATTTCTTCAGGATTTCTTTCCGTTCTACAGCTCACGTTCAATGATCTTTGCTTAAAAGTTAGATGTGGTCCATATGCCCCGTGTGCTACAAAATGGACTGAGGCCGATTCCCTGTGCAAGACAGTTTACAAAAAACTGTATCTAGCTTCCCTCTTTCTTCCCTCCTCCTCTCCAGCTCCCACTGGCCGCTCGAGTGCCGACGATGTAAACGACCGCTGCCAGTTTGACTTGTGCAGCTGGCCCCTGCACTGGCAAATGGGGGGAATTCTCTCTGCCGGCCATCCCGTTGGTAAGCCAACGCTCCGTGACGCTGGTATAGCAGGTACCACTTGCTGCCATGCACAGTTACTAAGTAGCACTGCAGCTGCCTGTCTGCTTGGCTTCATGAGCATCTAGATTTAATCTGTAATGCCTTAGCAGAAAACAGTAGGGGGGATAATAACGGGGAACACTTGAGGCGGAAAAAACATGTTTCCACAGTTAACAATCAGCACCGCTCAGAGCCTCTGGGGACAGTCCTACTCATTCTTCCTCGGGCTGAGGTATGCTCCTGACTCAGAGGTGAATTCAAATCGTAGACCCTGGCTTACAGAAGACCTCTCTGAAGGCGGCAGAGAGCCAACAGCAAGAAACCAGGCTAACTTCTGTCCTGGGGCAAAAGATTAAAGGATGTTCAGCCCTGCTTGGGTACCTTGCACCAACAGCGTAATTTCAAGCTGAACGAGTCAGCACGCTGTATGAACACGCTTGGGAATGGGACACTTTCTCAAGGATGTCGGGGAGCAGGCTTTAGTACTTCTTTAACAAGAAGAGAACATAGTCAGCATCCCAAGGGGGGAAAAACCCTCTTAACACATCACATGAAGGATGGGATGCATACCCAACGCACAGTGCTATTTCAGCTCTGCAGGACAAGTTAAGGACATAGTGAATCTGTCAAACAGTGAATGGCGCTGAATTGCTCAGTGCATGTCCTGCTCATTGCTTAACAGATGATTACAATGATTACCCTCCTGGCTGAAAAGCAGCAGCTTCACTAGCCGAGACAAAAGGAGCTTCTTCCAACAGATGCAGCAGGAAATGTGCTATTTTTGTTTTCATGGAAGTCCCTCTAGCTGTATCTCAGGAGTGTGAGGGTCCCCTCTTTCGGTGAGAGAGAGACATAAGGGATATTTCTACCTCACAGTTTTGGCTTTCTTGTTATAAAAATGTAAAATTTAAATAAATTATAGGTTTATTAGTCCAACACAGGGAATCTGCGATGCAGAAGAAAAGTATGCTAGGAACAGAAATAGATTCTTACAACTCCATGAGTGCGCAGGATTTTGTCATAAAGGAAAACTTCTAGGGCAGGATGCATCCGTGGGTCCATAAAGGCTGCCCATGCTGTGGAGCAGGGACCAATCCGCAGTAGTGTCTTTCTCTAACAGAGTTAAAACACTCCCTCTGCAATCAAATATGTGTAACAATCAAATTATTAATAAGAACACTAATAAATAGCCACAGGTAACAACGTCCAGTAATTTAGAAGTGGAAGTTGTAGGATGCAGCAAGCACACACACCCATCACTCATCCATTTTTTTCCTAAAAGATACAAAAATGAATCTTCTTTCAAGTATTAAAAAAATAAGTTAATTGACATAAAAGGGTCAAAGTGACTGAGGGCCCAGGCAGGTCTTAAGCTTCGTTTCCAATGTGCAAAAACAAAATACAGAGGAAAAAAATAAAAACACTGAAAAGTCTTAATGGTGGTTCAGTCACTTAAGGGCTTCTCCCTTTTAGGGGCCTAACAGCCAGGGAATGCCGCCCGGTAACACCCCTGCCCCAGCACACACTTACCACTGTCCCACAGTCAATATTTTCCAGTGTCAAAACAGTCACAACAAAAACAGAACAAAGAAGCCCACCAGCCTCTGAGCTGTGGCCATGAAGACTAAGGCCAGCAGTAGCTGTCTCTCCAGTGTATAGCAAAGCAGAAGGGCATCTTCTCTCTCTCTTCGTCTCCCCTTTTCTCCCCACAAGAAGATTTAGGAGGCTATGATAGGGAGAGAGTCCTCTGATGCCCCCCATCTCTCAAAACCAGGAGGCAGAGAGTTCCATCACACATACTAGTAGTATCTTCTCTGTTTCATATTTCTTCATATCCATGCATAATGATCAACTGCAGGTTTCTTTGGTGGGGAGGAAGACTAAAGCAAAGAAGGTGTTGCCCTGGGCTTCTGGAGCTCTCTTGGACAGCTGACTCCACCATACAGGCTGCTACAGGCTGCTGTGGTTTTGCAGAGAGGGTTGCCACTTCCCTCCCTTTTATTAGAACTGGTGTAGTACAAATGGGAAAGGAATGGACTGCCATAAATCCAGTTTAGTTAAGGGTACTTCTTCCCTTAACCTCCTTCCCCACATATGGATTATTCCTCTCCCTCCTACCACACACACAAAAATACAGTCCGTTGTATAGGACCTCAAGGAGACTCCACAGTCTCAACTCATTATCTTCAACTTGGCTTGCAGACATGTAAAACTTAAGCTTCTGGAACCAACACACTTATCAAAAGGCTTCTGAGTGCTTCAAACCAAATCCCTGCATGCTGTCGGACCCTTCGGAGGTTTCCCCTTCAACATCTTCCTATCCATGTAATTCTGGCGAACTCAGGGTAGGCCAACTGGACAACACAGACCAGCAGAGGTAAATGTGTTAAGCTCAGGACCAGTTCAAGCTAAAACCTTTGGAAAGCATGACTGCCTCCAGGTCCTTGTCTTCTTCTTTTTCTCGAAGCCGTTGCTCCTCAAGGAGAGCCACGAGAGAATCTCTCTGCTCCACTACTTCTAGCATCTCGTTCAGGATCCTCTTCTCCTCTGAGAGCTCCTCGTCTGTCTTCAGATGATCTATAGAGATATCAAAAACTATCAGCATACACAAGGCTGGAAATAGGCACATGCAATCGATGAAATGTTCCCTTTTGCTCTCACCTTCTACTGCCATCCTCTCCCGGAGTTCCTGCTGTAATCGACTCTGCCTGTCTTCCAGTTCTAGCTCCCGAGCGCTGAAAGTGAAACACCAGGAATCCAAGTTCTGGGCATATTCAAATACTCCATATGTTGCTTCATATCCATTCTCAATTTCTGCTCCCCCTCTAGATATCTGCTATGCGTTTTACCAATCTGTTTTGGAACAACTCTTAAAACACCTAAGATATATAACTGTATTTTTTAGACATTTAAATGTACTTTCAGCATCTCAGGTTCTTTACACCTTCAGTTAGGAAGTGCAATACAGAAAGTTGAGCGGATTATGGGTGGGATTAATCTAAAATGGTGTGAAGGAACAAATAAATCTGCAGTCACTGCAAAATTATACTTCACCTCTATGTATCTCCTGCCACTTCCCGCTCTAAAGACAAAATCACTTATCAACTAAAGACATGTCAGGCCACTGCCTTTTCAAATTCCAATGCAGACAACACCTTGGGAGTTTTTCTGACACAGTGACTAAGACGATCAGTGTCCACACTGCCTGGGGCAGCTGACATACTCAGAAACGAATTTCAGTGAATTTGCAGCATGGGGACTGAGAAAGCTCCCAATTTCATTAACAGGAAAAAAGCCTTATCATCTGAGCCCAAACGAGAGGCACTGGGGTCCCACTACAGACAGAGTGCCACATGGCAAAGGTGACTGAATTAAACACTTTCGGCTACACTTAAAAGTGGACTCTACCAAAACTAGGATGAGTCATACATTATGTCTGCATAGCTCAAAAAAACTTGTGTGAACAAGACGTGTTTTATCCAAGAATGGCTTGGGAAGGGCTCAGAGCTTTAAACATGCATCCATACTTCTGCATGTGCACAAATAGTTGGAACTTTCATTCTTTATTGCTATTATTCCTTCTTCTACCACTCTTCTGAGTCATATCTTGGATTCATATCTCAGCCAAGAATCAGCCTGAGAGACTGCTGACCTCCCGGCATTACAGGGAATACAGTACTGACACATCTTCCAATACTATTTGTAACATAATCCGCCTGTTGAAGCTTTGCATATTCACTCACAATATCATCAGTTCGGACTCGTAGCGAACCAAGGCATTCTTCTCCTGCACCAGCTTGAACCACTCCTGCATCAGCTTGGGATCATCCTTCTTACCCATGCCTGCCAAAAAAGAAACGTGGTAAGTTTTCAGGTAACGCCCTGCAATCCTTACAAGCCCAAACTGCAAAAACAACAATGGGGCAAAATGTGCAAAGAAAGCCGAGCAAGATGCTGCCAGAGCACTCCCAAGCCGGGTCCATTCAGTTTGCCTAGAGCACACAGAAGAGTGGAAGTCACCTCCAAAAGGATTCTCTTCTCTTTGGAGCCTGATTTTTTTTTTTTTTTTTTTGCTTTCTGATTTTCTTGAGATTGCTTGTTTCTTCCTCACTCTTACTGCAGAAAGCCCAGATTTCTGTAAGTATTTCATTTTTCCTTTCATTAGAAGAGCTTTATAGACCCTCATGCCAGCTACTTAAATGTATGCTCATCAGAAACTGATTCAATTGCCACTCCACGTGTTTTACCTTTATTTTCTTCAATTGCATGTCCTCGACCTTTTATTTTACTGGCCAAAAGTAACATCTCATCTTTTCTATTTTCAATAGCTAAATAAGTCTTTTCTGACTGCTCCTCCTAGCCACATATATCTATCCATCTTGAAGATCCCCCCTGCACAGTGAACACAGAAACTACTTCTACTGTATTGCACATCAGCGCTAGAAAGAAAAAGAATCCCAGACACATTTGCTAATATCAAAGCAGAATAAAAATACCTTGGGCCTTGGCCACCTAGTACGGAAGTCTTAGTTGGTATTTCATTTATTTTAAAAACAACTCCTAAATTTACTCAGTAGTCCACTGACGAATCGCCTATCTGTCAGGAGTTATGTGGAATAAATTGCAGAATGCTGTTCCCAAAGCCTTCTGTTGATATTTATCAACAAGAGCTTACCAGGGAAGCTCCTCCTAGCAACCTCCTGGTCTGGTCCACTGATTCTGCACTGAACTACCTGCAGACGAATGCTATGACTTGCATCAGACACCACCAAGGACACTAGCAACGCCCCTGCCTGCGTGGGAGTGGAGGCAAGAGCAAAGCCTCAAATCCGCCTCGACAGTATTTTCACATTGCTGCATCTTATCAGCTTGCACTGCACGTGACCCAGGCATCCTAAAGTAACTAACGTCCCTGTCCATGTTTGTTATTACGGGTACATACTAACTACATCAAGAGCAAAAACTCTCAAATAGTCATTTTGATGCTAATCAACCAGCAAGCTTACTATTCGAACTCTGGGAAACACTTGGCAAATACCACATTAATGGCTAGTTAATTCAGACCTGTGCCCTGCCTCCATCCTTAGGATCTCGGAGAAGTGCTGGACTCGAGCTAAATAAAGGAGAGCCTACAACTCCTATTAAACTGCAGCTTAGGCTGAGAATACCTGCCTTTGGCAAATCGTAATAGCAGACCCTTGGGGAATCCCAGACCTGGTTGTAGCACCCTAAGAGCCGCCGGCTCTGCGGACTTTATACCAGTGTGTTGCTCAGCTCCAAGCATTCCTTTCTGAGCATCTCTGCACAATATGCCCGTGTGGCAACAGGAGAGGGAGACTGTACATGCAGATGTCCAGTGCTGTGGCGCCATGAAAGCACTGGGAAGTCTCCCCATCCTTTCCGATGCCAGGATGTATAGAAAACAAATGCCTAAGAAAAAGCCAAAAACACAACGCTACTGACCTATGAAATACATACGTATTTTTAAACAGCCAATGAGCAGAGGAATAATGGGAGGATTGGAGAGGGAGCACTGACAACTGATGTGAGGGAGCACCATAGAAAGCAGAGTAAGTGGTTAGCAAAATTACACCATGAGCACACATAAACAACCCCTTCCCCCATGCCTTGGCAATGGAAAATCTAAGGCAAACTCCATTTGGGACAGTTAAAGAATGCACTCAACAAGACAGATGAGAGAAAACTGGTCTAGCTTAAAGGTTTGTTGGTTTTTAAAGTTCAAGGATGTTTTTGCAAACCAGTCCTTATAAAGACACAGTATTCCTTTAATCCATATATACTAATTAAAAGGCCATTTGAAGAAGTAGATTTTCTTCCCTTACCCCACTGTCCAAACATCTTTCAGGAGAACGGAGAAACTGAAGCCACCAAATGAAAACAGAAACTTTCGAGTGTGACGTTACTGCTCCCACCGCTGCTGCTCGATGTCCCTCCCAGTCGCTACACCTTCCCTAGCACAGCTGGGACTAGCAAAAGGGATACCGTACCTTTAGTACCTTGCCACAGGCTCAGAGAAGCTGGTTACCAGGTTGCTACTGAGAAGGTTGGTTTGGGGACACAGCAAGAACAGGGCTGGGGACGGGGCTGGGGGCCTTGTGGTCACTAGCTGACTAGTGCTGCTACAACAACCCAGCTGTGGTCAAGGAGAACAGGGAGCGTGTGAGGTTACGTTACCTTCATGGGCACAGCAAGGGCAGAAGGAGAGAGGTCTACGACGTGGTGTCCCGGCATTGGGCTCAACTTCAATAGGACCAAACGAGGAAGAGGAAGAGGCAGGAGAGGAAGAGGAAGTTGGAAGTGGAACGGAAGAGGAGGAAAGGGGTGAAATAAAAGACAAGCAAAGGACAAAAAGCATAAGAGTGAGAAAGAAAGGAAACACAAGAAGAAAAGAAAAAATACAAGAAATGGAAAAGCAGAAACAAGGGATACAGTCTACAGATGAATAATGTCCCTAATAAGCACAGATAACAGGTAAGAGGTAGACTGAGGTACTGGCGAACTCTTACTGAGCTGTACAAATACCAGGCAGGAGGTTATTGTTACTGTACTTTTTCCTAACATACATTTTTCAATCACATGGTCTGTAACTGAAGGGTTTGTGAACAGGATGTCAGGACGAGCAGAGATGAATATTTAACTCCTGCTGATAAATGTCAGATTTCAAGGAGGGTTACAAAAAGTCTTGCCTGCATGCATAAGACACCAGCTGTAAGCAGCCACCCTACCTTAAAGCTTTATCAGGACCATGCTCTTATCACCACAGCAGCATCCACTGATGGTAAAAGCGTCTTTTTTAATGCAAAATAATTTCTTCAGGCAGGGAACATCACAGGCACAATCTGATTAACGTGGAACCAGCCTGCCAGGATCTGCTGTCTCAAGTATGGCGAGTACACACGTACTCAACTGGACTTAGAGGGGAAAAGGCTTTTACACGGACAAAAAAAGTGATTCACATCAGGGCTTGCGGGGCAATGACCAACTGAGGGCTTTGCAGAGTTAAAACGGTAAATTTAAAGCTCTCCCTTGACATTCTCATTTCACAAAGCATTTTAAAGCTTACAAATCCTGTTAGTATCAGTGACTTACTGAATCTTTTTCATCTTTTCTGTCACCCAGCGAAGGACAAACATTTCTCATTCTCTAAAACGGTTCAGCTGTTTTAACACTAAGAATTTGCTTTTCAGCTGTACTTAACGTTACAGAGATAAACACTAGGAAATAACCAACATCACTGATAGTTACAGGAGAACATATGCGCCAGGAAAGTGACGAGCCTGAAACATCAGAGCTAGCAGAATGGAACACTTACTGCTCTCAATGCACAACCGCCATCTATAAAGAGGAGGCATTTCTGTGTTGGGAAAAGGCATAAACTCCACGACAAGAATATGGTAAGAACAATGCTTATTTTGGAGAAGTCAGCAGAGCTTGATATACGTGGTTTGGAGACAGCTGTACAGAGCTAGACTACCGGCGAACGGGGAAGGCTTTAGAAGGGACCATCACAGAACTAGACCAGCACACGGAGGACACACTGGAGCGAGAGGGACAGCACATCGGCTTCAAAGCCTGTGACTGAGCAGCGCGGCTTTCTCAGACAGGAAGAAACCTCTGTACTGGGAGCGGGAAGGGGCAACATTAGGAGAGGGGCCACAGTTGGCCGTATGACAGTTGCAAATGAAGCATCGTACCAACATTAGTTGACAGTACCAGAACCTTAATTCTGGTCGTTCAGAATTTTCCAACTTCTTCATTTAAAATGAAAAAATACTAGGGCTTTTTTCCTATGACTGCCATTTCACAGACTAGGTTACAAAAGCAAAAACGAACAAGAAAAACCCCAAACCACAAAGGCACTGTGAAGAAAAAGCTTCCACACAAAGCAGAGCGTTTCGCATATGTTACCTATTATATTTTTTATTTCAGATCCTATCTTATTGAGCATGAATTCTTCTATAAATGCTTTAATGCTCTAACTTGGTGCTGGGGGGATCAGAAGACGGACATTTAACTATACAGAAAAATCCACTCCAATTTTTCAGGGTTTGAGATTTCATTCAGAATTGTGTGCATGTGTGTGTATGGGATGCCGATAACTCAAACATAGCTATATTTATACATTTCAAACCATAGACATATAGACTTGGTGAGGAATTCCCAATTTGCCATATTTGATCTGAAAATAAATACCTGGTATGTGAAAAATGCCATTCATCTCATTGTGACATGACCACAACTACTAACTTGTGCCATCAGTGAGCAAATGGTCTGATCCTAGGAGAAGATACCACCTTTGGTCTCCAGTAAAAAGCCACAGGACTTACATGGCAGAAGGCTGTAATACAGAACCCACTCCCTACAGTTGTGTTTTCTTCCTCTGCTCTTAGCTGTGCTATTTTTTAACAGAAATATTATCCTCCCACTCTTGTCTAAGGAAAACGTGTCCTTGAATCAAGTTATGTAGTCCACGGTATCTATAATAGTCCTGCTACTGGAAATGTTAACATTGCTTTTCAGTAAGATAATGAACATAACCTGTACTATTAAGATCCTTTCCAATTACTCCAGATGTAAATTACAGTTGCATCAGTGAATACAGGTTATATGATTGTTACAATTGCTTTGGAAGCAACTCCTGTCCAGCCCAGGACAATTACCAAGGCTTTAAAAAGTGTTCCTTATGTACCAGAGGTCCTAAACAGCGAGGACAAAGTAAAGCGCAACCTGAAAACTTACCTCTTATAGTTCTCTAAAGCTGTGAAAATTACACCAATTATTACACTCTAAAAAACATATCACGCAGTAGAATTTTAAATATATTTTTAAAAACTTCTCTAAGGTGATAGTCATGAAAACTGCCTCCCCGCCCTTGCTAATAAAGAGTATCAATACATGTGGTACAGATACTATACGCAGACTAAAATAGGAACTTTCTAATTTTAAGAGGAAAACTATTTTATCATGTGTCCTGAAATGGAGAAGGATTTTTCACTGACAGTAACAAATCTTTAAGTGTATTCCATGTCACACATTTCACTATCCCTTCAGATGAACACTTTCAAGAAAAGGCCTCTTAACTGTTTCAGAAACAGAGAACGGGGGAAAAAAAGATCATTTGATAAATGGAAAAAGCATTCCCTCAGCCAGCTGATAAGGTTAGACAGTGAATGTATCATCAGATCATTCACATTCCTGTACTGGTTAATTTAAAAAACAAACAAACAAACAAACAAAAAACCCACAAAAAAAACCCCAAAAAACCAACTTCACAGCAAGAGCTCTCACTGTGTGTATTTATGTTTAAAGACAATCCTGGGAAAAGGCTGAACTCGTCCAGTACTACTAAAAGGAGAACCTGGTTCACAATACGGTGTTAAAAACTGTCCCATCTACCTTGCCCTTATCATTTCTCCAATTACATAATGAAAATCCTTACATGTCTTCTTATTTCTCCCAAAGCCATCACTAATCCTACAGTATATAGTATTATTATTGTATTACTGTTTAGAGAAGAGACATCACCACCTCATGGTCTCATTAAATTAAAAACATGATCACTGCACGATGATCTTCCTGGCCATGGAGTCAGGGCCAGATGGGAAAAACTCTTTTGATAAGGAAATTAAAAAAAAAAAACCAACCCAAAACCAATCCCCTTTCTGTTTAAGTCTCCTCCATCACCAAAAAACCCAGGCCAGGTCTGGCAACACAGGTCTTCATCCACAGCATGGGAAGAGCGCTGCCGGCAGTACAAGCTACCCACTGCCCTGCTGAAGCGGTTCACTCAGGAGGAGTTGCAGAGTAAGAGAAGAACCACTTCTGTGACCGTTCACTTCTCAGGTTCCCTCTGTGCTGTCAACAAGAGTGAGGTGTGACTATAGCTTCTGGACAGAAAATTATCACTTTTTTTCCCCCCCGAGAGGAAAAACTGCCAACAGACTGTGTTAATCACAAGCTGTTCTTTTTCAATGCCACAAGCCAACTTCTCTGAACGAATGTAAAGCCTTCAAAGCGGAGGTGAGCAGCCCAAGCGGCTGGCAAGCAGAGGCATTCAGAAGGGCACGTGGGGGGATGGGTACGGAGCCAGGAGCCGCAGCTTGTTGAGGAAAGGAGTGTGCCCCAGCTTCCAAGCACACTGAACATCCTGGAGAGGTAGAAGCTCTGCCTTGCAGATTAGCCACATCTCATCAATAAAGTAACTAGAATTATCTTGCCTCTGTGAGAAGAAGCCTTTCCCAGATCTTTCTGGGAAATCTTTCATGCAGCCATGACAAGAAAGACCTTGTTTGTCATAGCACCTTTGAGGGATTGCAGACATTGCTACAGTGGCGCAAACCAAGAGCCAGGCCAAGAATAAATACCATAGCTCCAAAGCCCCTTCAAAACAAGGGACAGAAATTGTATAGCCACCATGAAAATATACCTTCCTTTCCACTGTACGTTGTTCTTTGTTACACAAGCTACATTGGACTGTTGCCTTCATTTCTACTTTTCATTTACCTAATGTTTGAAGAGCAATACTTCAGACTGGTTTTGTCCTTCTGTGCTGTAGCTACGTAACACTTCTTCATTATCTGAAGCACAGTGGTAAAAATGATTGATCAGGATGAAGAAAGCACAGCAGAAAGTTTGAGGTGGCAGACACCATTATCCCTAAGCTACAGCTCACATTGATCCCCTTCACTATTTGCCCATGTCCTGTGGTATGAGAACTGTGACGATTTCTGAGAAGTGGTGAGCCACTGCGAATCAAAATGACTTGAACAGATATACCACAGACCAAATGGGACCACATCCTTTGCAAGCTTTGCATCCGAAGACTTAGATTTCTGTATTGCTGACTAACCAGGGCAGTTTGGAAATCAGCAACACGGGGCAGGAAATCCAGCTCTGAGGCTCATCTCAGCTCTCCTGAACCATTATGCTGGCACTTGACCTCACAAGCGTGACACTTCAGGAATTCTTAGTCTACTAACAAATTCCATCATTCATTTAGCAGGCAGACTAAGAGCTCTAATTTCAACTCAGTGCTTAAAATAAGGATCAGTCCAAAAGAGATCAGTAAGACAAACTGTGCACAGATCACAGGAAATATCCTCTTTCCCACCTTTTAAAAATCAGTTTTGGTCAGAAACCTCAGTACTGAAAAATAAAGCATTCCAACTTTACTATTTGGTGAAGTTGTTCAACAGCAGTGCTGTAAAAGTGCAAGAATACAGAGAGCCACCTCTTGGAGA